TTAACAAGCATAATTACATCGTGATTGTTTTGCGTGATCTAAAAAAATAATTTCTTTGTTCGTGAAAAAAAAAAAGATAATAGTAGTAAGAGAATGATATCAAGAAGTAACGTGTGCAAAAGTTTTATTGAAGGATTTTAATTTCGCACAATTCAGCATAGAGAAAACATCAAGCGGCAACGTCCACATTTTACCACGAGAAGTTTCTCTTTGACTTTCAATCCTTATGATCAAAGACGTTAAAGAGTTGAGTACCGACTCGGACAAAACTTATTACGGTCAACGCTCAGTATAGTTTAATGATTTTATATAATTGGAAGATTCACCAATAGTCGTTCGTTTTAATTCAGCAAGAGTTTAATCGAGTCCATACACGTCTCCTCCTTTCCGGAAGTCCGCGTTCGCGTATACCGTATTGTTCTTGGTGTAAATGATGCAGGCTACGCTGCCACGAACTCTGTAACGAGCAGTTTTGTGGCCGATCTTTTTCAACCCATCGATCACCTGTTTTGGCACGCCATACTCGTAGGCTACTTCTGCCGGGAATAACTGATGATGTATTCGAGGAGCGTCCACCGCTTCCTTTACCGTTTGGCCCATCCACATGATCTTGGCCATTATCTGAACACAGGAATGTTGAAGAAATTCAGAATATTGAAAAACATTTCTTCGTTAAAACGAATTGGTTCAAATGTTATATATTAACCGACTGGAGGTCGACTTTCATTTGTAATTAATTCTTTTGTCTAGATTGAGATTGAAGTAGTTATAATATTATCCATAGGTAATATTAGTCTTTAAAATTGGCGAGAAGGAAAAATCAAATTGATGCAAATTTCGTTGCAACGAAATAATTAACTGTTGTCATCGGACGATGTTCACAAAATGCTTGGTGAAATAAATGCTCACCTGAGAGACTGTCGTGGTGATCTTAGTACCACCAGAAGCACCAACGACCATTCTTACATCATCATTTTCGTCGACAACTATTGAGGGTACCATAGATGACAAAGATCTTTTGCCAGGGGCGATATAATTGTTCGGACTGGGTGGAACTCCGAAGTAATTAAATGTCGACGGTATACCAAAGTCGTTCATTTCATTGTTCAACAATATTCCGGTACTTTCGCTGACTATTCCGCTTCCAAAACTAATAAAGAAATGATCATTTAACATAAAATATCTTAAGCTAAAACTAAAACTTCCAACACAATTTACTCAATTTGCTATCTCGTAGTACCCTCCTCAATAAACTTCTCAATATAAAATCTGACCTAGAAAAATTGTTCAATGTCCAAGAAATAAACGTACTAGAAGTTGATAGTACTAGTAGCTGAAACTGCGTCCCCATTTGGCGCTAATACTGAAACATGTGCAGTTCCTTGATCTTTCGCGCTGCTCAGCGTACGCGCTCCATAATGAACTGGATCGTCCCACGTTTTGTGATCATCTATCTTCATTTGTGTTTCTTGCGCTTGAGTTTTAGACGTCAGATTCTTCGTCAACTGAAGCAAGTAGAATTCAAATTAGAATTACAAGTAGAAAGAACCGCAAGTTCTGTGCGAAATCCTTGTGCGTCGTTTTTGAAAGTAATGCGCATGGCTTTTTTTTCTTCTTTTTAATTTATTGATAAAGTAATCGATATATCCACAAATGTCCGATAAACTATTGCATAAGAGAAACGTGTTTGCTCATTGAATTTTGTTTACTAACTTCTTCCATATCGACGAATTCTTTATCGCCCATATCATTCCTCAACGCGTACGCGTATTTGAACGTCTCGATCATTCGATGATATGTAAGAATGGTTCGATTGAAATCAGTCAAGCTGTCAGGCGTGAAGTTAAACCCATCCAAGATATTTAAAATATAGGTGAGAAGTGCACCACTCGCTGGTAAACCGATTGTAAACAGTTTCATTCCATTGGACAGGTTCGATTGAAGTGGTTCGTCCCACGTTGCTCTGCAGATAATTTCGATGAAAAAGAATTTTACGATCGATGATTTGTAGCTTTCTCAACTACTATAAATACCTGTAATTGTTCAAATCTTTCGTCGTTATTATCGACCCTTTCTTTTGCAAATCTTCTACCAGAAGTTCACCAAGTGTTCCGTTATAAAATTCCGAGACTCCTTTCTCTGCGATTATTCGCAAAGTTTTACAGAGCATCCTCGGTTTGATGATGGTACCTGGTTTATAAAAGTCGTTCGTGCTTGGATCTACGAACAACTCTCTGAAATGGAAAGAGTTTCGTGTCTTTTACTTTCTTAAAAACTTGTAAATTATCAGAACATTAATTCCTCGTATTTTAATTGAATTAATACGAATGTCATAATTAGAGTGGATTTTTATGCATTTTCTATAACTATATTTAATGTACAAAACAATTTCCTGTCGAAATTCCATATTCTACAAGTACATTTTTATAAATTCGCATAAAGACCCAGAATCTAATCATAATGCGTTTACTTTAACACGCGATCCTTGTAAATGTTCTTCGCGGTGTATCTGAATCCGTCGTGTTGAATTTTCGTCAGATTGTATCCTTCTTCGCACAGTTCGATCGAGGGTCTGAATAAATCGGCCCATGGTAATTTACCGAAACGTTGATGGGCTTCCCAGTACCCTGCCAATTCCCCAGGAACAGCGATGGCCAACGGGCCTAATGTAATTCATGAACGTACAAATTTTATAGCCTTTTTACTTATTCATCAAAAAAAAAAAAAAAAAAAAGAGGGGAAGAGTAAAAGTTTACCGATGAACGACGCCTCTTTGGGCTTTCCATCATACATTGTTGCATTGGCAGCTAACGGAGCACGATCTCTCGCGGTCAATGTGTACGCTCGTTTCGAAGCTTTATCGTAAATTGTCATGAAAAAGCCACCTCCAATGCCCATGCTCTGCATGTTCACGAGACCGTTGCAAATCATCGCAGCTATAGTCGCATCCACCGCCGAGCCATTTTTTTCTAGAATTGAACTGCAAGAAAATATCAA